GAGAGATGTTCAGAGGAGGAGCAGAGGAGAGGAGAAGTGGAGAGGAAGCAGATGATGCAGAGGAGCAAAGGAGGTGAAGATGATGGAGAGAAGGAGCAGAGGAGAAGGAGAGAGGAGGTCGAGAGCGTGAAGAACAGAGGAGGGAGAGACGATGAAGAGGAGAGGAGAGAGGAGGAGCACAGGAGGAGGAGGAGAGGAGGAGAGAAGGAGAAAAGAGAAGAGGAGGAGAAGTAGATGAGAAGAAGAAGAAGAGGGGGAGTTGATGCACAGGAAGAGTAGATGACGGAGAGAAGGAGGAGCAGAGGAAAGTGAGATGATCCAGAGGAGGAGAAGAGAAGAAGCAGATGATGCAGTGGAGGAGGAAAGAAAAAGGAGAAAAGAGGAGAGGAGGAGAAGAGGATGAGAAGAAGAAAGGGGGAGATGATCCAGAGGAGGAGAAGAGAAGAAGCAGAGGATGGAGAGAAGGAGGAGGAGCAGAGGAGGAGGAGGAGGTGTTGAACTCTTTCTTTCTTTTCTCCTTTTACGGTTCGTGAGTTCCTCGTGTCTCGGCGTTTGTCGTTTCGTGGACTTGACGCACGTGTGATGCTCGACTTACTACCGGCCAATCAGAGCGCGGGACGGGCCGGCCAATCAGAGCGCGGGACAGGGCACTGCGGTAAAGGGGGATCTGGACGACCACCAGAGAGAGAGAGAGAGAGAGAGAAAGAGAAAAGAGGAGAGAGGGAGCAACAAAGGAGAGGAAAAGAACAGTGGAGAGAGAGGGAGGAGTACTTTTCCATATTTGGGCGTGTTCCTGGCCTCGCTTCCTCGTTTCAGAAGTTTGCGGCTCGTGAGGTGGAATTTTACTGCACTTTTTTTTTTTGGACACGATTCCTTTTTGTCCGAGCGTAAAAGTTAAATTTAGCTTCAGTTTCCGAGCGGAGGACGAGCAGCGGGACACGAGCGCAGAGCCTCAAGACGCTCTCAGAAAAACAGGCGACGTTTGAGGAAAAACAAAGTATTGATTCATATTTTTTAATTGTCTTTTTCATTTTCTTACGGTGACCCAGACTAAATCATAATAAAATAAAATAAAAATAGTAATAATAACAGTTTTCTTTCTCAGTGCATTTCTTTTTTTACCCATAATTTGTTGACCTCCTTTAATGACTTTTTAATAACAGTTTGTTCATCATGTAGAGACGGAGCAAAGCATCATGGTCTATGTGGTTTTCTCTACAATCAATAAATTTAAGCAGAGAAACTTGTGGTTCAATATTTCTGAGACTTTTGTCGATCTGATTTCACGATATTTCGGTTATTGTTACATCTCGATATATCAGCACAGAGAAATACTGCGAGAAATGATCATATTAAACGCACTTTATCCTCTGACGCAGCAGCAGGAGAATCACTCTGAACCGTTTTAAACAAACGATAATTATCCACATTAGTGACTTATTCTCTTATTCTTATTAAAAAGACAAAAACATCCCAAATCTGTAGTTTTATAAAGAAACTGCACCCACGATAAAACACTGAACTCCAAAATGTTCAGTTCCATCTTTCATATGAAACTAGAAGTGGACGTCGTGATTATCGTGACAGAATTATCCACTTTTTTTCATTGGTGTTTGAGAGTTTGACCAGACGCCAGGATCTGTTTTTGAACATTAACGTGCAGCTTTATTCTGTTTTATTGTTTAGTGTTTTGTGAGACACTTTGGTTGAACTACCACAGTGAGAGACATGTCCCCGACCCGGAGGCGCAGGGACCCGACCCTCTCGTTCATCGAGGTGAACTCCAACACACGACGACTGAGCTGTGGGGAAATACCCCCACACCAGCCTGCCGCCCCCCCCCACACCAGCCCGCCGCCCCCCCACACCAGCCCGCCGCCGCCCCCCCCACACCAGCCCGCCCTCCCCCCCCACACCAGCCCGCCGCCGCCGCCCCCCCCACACCAGCCCGCTGCCGCCCCCCCCCACACCAGCCCCCCCCCCCCACACCAGCCCGCCCCGCCCCCCACACAGCCCGCCCCCCCCCCACACACCAGCCCGCCACCCCCCACACCAGCCCGCCGCCGCCCCCCCCCACACCAGCCGCCGCCCCCCCCACACCAGCCCGCCGCCCCCCCCCACACCAGCCACTGCCAACTCCCCCCCCACACCAGCCCGCCGCCGCCGCCCCCCCCACACCAGCCCGAGACTTCTGAACTGTTCTTCGTCTGAACCGTCCTCCACCACGATAAGGAGACGGATCAAGGAGGGACGAATCTTTATCTGTTTTTTCAAACTCTTGTTTTTTCATTTTCATTTCGGTTTCATTTTGAAAAATGAACAAACGAACAACACACGGATTCAACAACCTCGGTGTGAACTCGGCCGAATGTAGAAACCGAAAGGTAAACGCTCCACCAACGAGTTCATGCGACTCAGCGCCTCCTGGTGTCGTGGAGGTGAATTACACAAAGAGCTCGACGCAGATCATAAATCAAACACAACGGCGACAAGAGACTAGAACCTGGAGAAACATCTGAGATAAAGGTGTCATATAAATAAATGTCGGTTATCGGCCACAGCAGCAGGACAAATATCGGATATCGGCTCAAAAATTTAATCTGTATTGGTAATCTTTAAGAAATAATACGATAAAAGTAACAACTAAACAAAGAAAAGAATCGTTTGTGATTCTGTGCTCTAAATAATAATAATTCTCTCTGTGAAAGTCTCAGTGTTTCAAACTTTGCAAATATTTATGAGTCCCTTTTTAAACCATGATTAAAGCTGCGCTGTGTAACTTTTCTGTTTTTTATCTTTATTTGACAGAGCTTAAACCCGACCAGGTTTTTCTGAGACATCTGAGCGGGAAAAGCACCTGTGAGTGAGGAAACGTTCAGGTTTGAAAGTGACGCAGAAAGTTCCAGAGTGTGTGTGTGTGTGTGTGTATGTGTGTGATGTGTGTGTGTGTGTGTGTGTGTGTGTGTGTGTGTGTGTGTGTGTGTGTGATGTGTGTGATGTGTGTGTGATGTGTGTGTGTGATGTGTGTGTGTGTGTGTGTGATGTGTGTGTGTCGATGCTGTGATGTGTGATGTGTGCATGTGTGTGTGATGTGATGTGTGTGTGATGTGTGTGTGTGTGGATGTGATGTGTGATGTGTGATGTGTGATGTGTGATGTGTGATGTGTGATGTGTGATGTGTGAAATGTGATGTGTGTGTGTATGTGTGTGTGTCCAATGTATGCCCACGCTGTGCTCTTTCTGCTCTGTTGTGTTTAATTTCACACTTCATTCTCCCGGCGCAACGGCCGAACCTCCGCTGAGGCGTCTGCGGCGCTTTAACGCGTTTATCAAGGAGGACGGGAAGAACGCGGCGGCATTTTAATCTTTAACATCTCCGACGAACGACGAACGACGGGTGAGACGAGGAGCCGCTGCACTCGCTTATGATCATGCAGATGTTGCAGATGAGTCACAAAGGTTTTTCAGAGGTTCTGTGTAGGTTCTGTGTAGGTTCTGTGTGGGTTCTGTGCAGGTTCTGTGTGGGTTCTGTGTAGGTTCTGTGTAGGTTCTGTGTAGGTTCTGTGTAGGTTCTGTGTAGGTTCTGTGTAGGTTCTGTGTAGGTTCTGTGTAGGTTCTGTGTGTAGGTTCTGTGTAGGTTCTGTGTGGGTTCTGTGTAGTTCTGTGTAGGTTCTGTGTAGGTTTCTGTGCGGGTTCTGTGTAGGTTCTGTGTAGGTTCTGTGTGGGTTCTGTGTAGGTTCTGTGTAGGTTCTGTGTAGGTTCTGTGCAGGTTCTGTGTGGGTTCTGTGTAGGTTCTGTGTAGGTTCTGTGTGGGTTCTGTGTAGGTTCTGTTGTAGGTTCTGTGTAGGTTCTGTGTTCTGTGTAGGTTCTGTGTAGGTTCTGTGTAGGTTCTGTGTAGGTTCTGTGTAGGTTCTGTGTAGGTTCTGTGTAGGTTCTGTGTAGGTTCTGTGTGGTTCTGTTCTGTGTAGGTTCTGTGTAGGTTCTGTGTAGGTTCTGTGTAGTTCTGTGCGGTTCTGTGCGGGTTCTGTGTAGGTTCTGTGTGGGTTCTGTGTAGGTTCTGTGCTGTGGGTTCTGTGCAGGTTCTGTGTAGGTTCTGTGTGGGTTCTGTGTAGGTTCTGTGTAGGTTCTGTGTAGGTTCTGTGTAGGTTCTGTGCAGGTTCTGTGTAGGTTCTGTGTAGGTTCTGTGTAGGTTCTGTGTAGGTTCTGTGTGGGTTCTGTGTAGGTTCTGTGTAGGTTCTGTGTGGGTTCTGTGTAGGTTCTGTGTAGGTTCTGTGTAGGTTCTGTGTAGGTTCTGTGTGTTCAGGTTCTGTGTAGGTTCTGTGTAGGTTCTGTGCAGGTTCTGTGTAGGTTCTGTGTAGGTTCTGTGCGTCAGTTCTACCTTCAACATCTCGGCGTGGATGCTGTAGTGGGAGTAGGAGCTGAAATAGGCCTGGTCTTCTTCTTCTCTCAGTTCAGAAACGACTCCCAGGGAACGAGCTCCTCGAGGAGAATCAGAACTCAACACCAAACCCTGAGCCAGAACCCTGACAAACACACACACACACCGAGAAATAAACAAACACACACACACACCGAGAAATAAACAAACACACACACACACCGAGAAATAAACAAACACACACACACACACGAGAAATAAACAAACACACACACACACCGAGAAATAAACAAACACACACACACACCGAGAAATAAACAAACACACACACACACACACCGAGAAATAAACAAACACACACACACACCGAGAAATAAACAAACACACACACACACCGAGAAATAAACAAACACACACACACACAGATAAAGAGATAAAGGGAGATGAACACACTGGTCCAGGACACAGAGACAAACATGGACTTGATTCTACACCTGAGTTTTGTGCAGCTCCGGGGCCACAGTCGCCTCTTTGGTCCATTACAAAATAAACATTTGATTATTTTTCCTCCTGCTGGACTAAAGCTGCATTCTCTTATTTTAGAGTTTTGGGGGTTTTTTTTTACATTTTTTGTTCAACAGTTTCACTTTTTCATTTTTGAGTCAGAAGAAAAACTCTCCCCAGTCTGAGCAGCGTCACAACAGATGTACTGTAAATATTATATATACACACATACATACATATATATATATATATATATATATATATATATATATATATATATATATATATATATATATGGATTAGTCAGAGTGATTATTATTATTATTATTATTATTTCCATTTAACACTGACAGTTTAAAACATTATCAGTCAAATACAGAACAGTGGAGACTGAACGTTTCTGTCTGAGGATCTGATCAGGGAATTATTAAGTGTGTTAAATAATAATTCTTTAATAAATATATTTATTATTGTGTATTTATTTTGTGAATTATTCATGTAAATCAGAAACTGTTTGTTCTTTTTGACACTTAAATATAATAAAGCTTCTGTTTTTGTTCTAAACATCTGTGTAAAACACAAACAAACAGAAAAACTGATGATTAAAGGCACTGGTTTATGGACTTTAAAAACACAGAGGAGACGCTGCAGCTTTAATGTTCTGTGTCGATTTTAAACATCACGTTTGAACTAAATCAGTGAAACTACAGAGAAACAAAACCATTTTTTATTTGAAGTTTGACACTTTGTGTTTCACATTAATCTGAGTTTAACGGAGCAGAAACGTTTCATTACAAAAGGATTTAAACAAATGAAAAACAAAAAGATTTAAACCACGTCTGGACTGAACACACTGAGGACCTGCAGCTCTGGCCACGACTCCGGCTCACAGATCTGGTTCTGGTTCTGGTTCTGGTCTCCACAGTTCTGGTTCAGTGCTGGTGTTTGTAGGTTTTTTGTGGTAAATACTGTGACTGTGATTAGATTTATGTTTTTAAAATAAGATTCTGTTCAAATGTTCTTGAGAAAAACAGCCCCACAAGTCTGAGACTGAAAACTCAACTTTCACAGTGGGAGGGCATCTGACACAAACGAGGGCATCTGACACAAACGAGGGCATCTGACACAAACGAGGGCATCTGACACACAGAGACACGGGTCTAAACTACAGAAAAATTATTCTATAAAAGGCAGGATATTTTATTACAGACGAAATTCTATCATGTAAAATAAATTCAGTTGTTCAATCGGATAATTACAACAAATGAACCAGAGATTTAGATTTGAGTCTGAACGATTATGAAGCTCAGACGGTTTAAGTCCTGGTTTAGTCCTGGTTCAGACCTGATTTAGTCCTGGTTTAGTCCTGGTTCAGTCCTGGTTCAGTTCAGTCCTGGTTTAATCCTTATTTAGTCCTGGTTTAATCCTGGTTTAATCCTGATTTAGTCCTGATTTAGTCCTGGTTTAGTCCTTATTTAGTCCTGATTTAGTCCTGGTTCAGTCCTGGTTCAGTCCTGGTTTAATCCTTATTTAGTCCTTATTTAGTCCTGATTTAGTCCTGGTTCAGTCCTGGTTCAGTCCTGGTTTAATCCTTATTTAGTCCTGGTTTAGTCCTGATTTAGTCCTGGTTTAGTCCTGGTTTAACACATAAAATCACCAGTTAAAGTCAGTTCTGTTTGACCGCAGACTTATAAGACTTAATTCTACATTTTTATCTTCCTCTCCTCCTCTTCCTCTCTCTCTTTCTTTCTCTCTCTTTCGTTCTTTCTCTCAGTCTCTTTTCTCAGGTCTGAGCCTTCAGGCCCAAAAGAGCAGTAACTGTTCACTTTATCTCCACGAGGCCTCGTCACTCCTCCTCCTCCTCCTCCTCCTCCTCCTCCTCTCTCCCTCTCTCCCTCTCTCCTTCTCTTCTTCTCTCCATCTCTCTCTTTTTTTCTCCAGTGGAATTTTCCTCTTTTTCCGCAGTGGAAATTTACCGTCCGGTGCCGTTTCTTCCTCTGCTGTTCAAGCCCGAGCGTCAGGACCAGAGTCAAACGGAGGGAGACGACGACACCTGCAGGACGCACCGGGAACTGCACCTGACGCTGCACCTGACACTGCACCTGTCGAGGCCTGACGCTGCACCGGAGCACAGGCAGAGCACGCAAACACTGTACTCGAGTAACAGCAGGTAGAGTATACAAACACTGTACTCGAGTAAGAGGAAGGTTCCTGCAGGTTTCTTCAAGTTAAATTCAAGTCTTTGTAAAAAAAATTTAAGAGCATTTATACAAATTATTTTTAAGAATTTAACCTACATCACGTCCTTTTCACAAACTCACTGGCAACTGGAAACAAACTGAATTCTTGATTTTGTGTTCGCTTCAGTTCAGACTCACAGAGGAGAGGAAGAACTGTTACTCCAGTAAAAATACTTCTACTGTACTTGTGATTTTTTCATTACTGCGATAATTATTCTTATTTTATTTGATTTCATATTTACTTAAAATGCAGATGTTTGGTCTTTTGGTCATTCTTTATGGTTAACATGATTATTTGTTGATTATTTGCTAAGAAATAATTTGATTTCTTTACATTTTTCTTTCAGTTCATTATTGTTCATGTTAATCATAAGTTTACTGCAGTAATGTTTAATGTTTGTATTATTCTGTGTCTGTGGTGAGTGCAGGTGCATCATGGGAGTGTGGAGCGGAGCCACGTTCAAAAGTTCCCAGTTTTTGTTTGTATTTGTTTGTCCCGATTCTGAGAATCGTCAGTAAAGAGTTTTTATCTGCACTTGGACACGGTCCCTGGATTCTTTTATTTCTGACGCAGTTTCAAAGGTCAAACAAAGTGCACAAAGCATCAACTCTATACTGTACTATAGAATACTCGAGTAAAAGTACTGATACTGTACTATAGAATACTCGAGTAAAAGTACTGATACTGTACTATAGAATACTCGAGTAAAAGTACTGATACTGTACTATAGAATACTCGAGTAAAAGTACTGATACTGTACTATAGAATACTAAAGTAAAAGTACTGATACTGTACTATAGAATACTCCAGTAAAAGTACTGATACTGTACTATAGAATACTCCAGTAAAAGTACTGATACTGTATTATAGAACAGGGGTTCTTGATTTTTCCAGTGCAGAGGGGCCCGGGGCCCGGGGCCCATTAAATAATAACACTGTAAATCAGGATATTTAACTCAAATTTGAGGAGGTCTGTTTGGAGAAACTCTCCTCCCGCAGACGTCCGGGACATCAGAACATCAGAACATCAGAACATCAGAACATCAGGAACATCAGAACATCAGAACATCAGGACATCAGAATGTTTAACTTGTGTTATGATTGTGAAACAGAAGCAGCTTCGTTTTATCAATGTCTAAATGTTTGAACAATTTTTACAAGTTAAAAACATTTCAACAAAATCTACTGTCAACACTGAAACACACACAGGTGTTTCAGAGTCTGGGTCCGGACTCAGAACATGGTCCGTCAGTTATCAGTCCTGACGCAGTCCCAGGACCCTCACGGCCCACTGGTGCAAAACGGAACCTTTTTTACAGCCCTGCAGAATCACTGCTATAGCATACTCTAGTACTCTAGTGAAAAGTACTGCTACTCTGTACTAGAGAATGTTTGTGGGCGTGTCTGAGTGTTTGTGGGCGTGTCTCTGGTGTTTGTGGGCGTGTCTGAGTGTTTGTGGGCGTGTCTGAGTGTTTGTGGGCGTGTCTGAGTGTTTGTGGGCGTGTCTCTGGTGTTTGTGGGCGTGTCTCTGGTGTTTGTGGGCGTGTCTCTGGTGTTTGTGGGCGGGGCTGCGTGTCAGACTGACCTGAGTTTGTGCAGGTCATCCGTGGCTCGGGTCAGCGCTTCCTCCGCTCGCCTCGCTCGCTCCTCCGCCTCGATCGCCCGCTGCAGCAGAGCATCATGGGAGGAGGGGGCGGGGCCTCGGGAACAGGAGGGCGGAGCAAAGGCACAAAGCTCCTCTGGGTCTGAGAGAAAAACAGAAAATAATCATGAGAATTTATTGTTCTCATGTGTCAAGTGTTAAAAGTAAAGTGTTAAATTTAAAGTGTTAAATTTAAAGTGCAGAATTTCTTCTCCACAAATAATAAGTCCAGTCACTAAACGTCTGGGCTGTGACTTGTTTGGTCTCCTGTGTCTGTTTACGAAACACTGAAGAAGACGAGGAGAGAGGAGGCAAGGAGATGAGGAGACGAGGAGATGAGGAGACAAGGAGATGAGGAGAGAAGGAGGCATGGAGACGAGGAGGCAAGAAGACAAGGCGAGAGGAGGCAAGGAGAGAAGGAGACTAGGAGGCATGGAGATGAGGAGACAAGAAGACAAGGAGAGAGGAGGAAAAGAGAGGAGATAAGGTGTGAGGAGACGAGGACAGAAGGAGACAAGGTTCTTTTTCAGTTTTTTTTAGCTGTTGCCTGCACCATAATCTCTTAATCTTAGATAGGAAGACCAGCAGAAGAAGAAGACCAAAGGATAGATGAGGCGCACTTATAGACAAGTGGGATGACGAGGATGTATAAGAAAGAAAGGAGAAGATGGAGGAATAATAGGTGTGAGGAGATACAAGGGAGACCAAGACTCCAGACCCAGACCCCATCACACGGCGCATGAATCGATGATCCTACTGAAAAGTGAAGTTGAGACTTTTCGTGAGCAGAAGGACAGGAAACAATTTCATTGATGTTTTAATAAAAAAAACACAAACTGTAGCGCTGTAAACTTGAGGACAGAAAGATAGAGGACAGGAGTTTTATGTGGACAGAGTGAGTGACATAGAGAAGAAGGGACAGATTTAGACGGACACGTAGAAGGACAGAACGCGGTTCACGTGTAGAGGTACAGAGTTGTAGAGCATGTATGAAAATTGATTGATTGTGAGGACAGATTGTAGTGAGCGAGGATACATATGATTTAGGGATGGACAGAGTGCTCGGACAGAGAATGGTGAGACAGGAGAGTATGGAGTCAGAGAAGTAGTGAGAAGACAGAGTTATGGAGTGGTGACGAGTGAGTGAAGTTCACAAGGTGTAAACAGAAAGTCAGTTGATGAGTAACAGAGGTGTCGCAGGACAGAGGAGAGCAAGGATCAAGAAGTATCGAGTACAGCCAGTGTGACAGATCCCGTTCCGAGGAACGCGTGTGAGTGGAACTATGATGAGCTCCGCGATGAGTGAGCACGAGAGGTGAGGACAAGAGTGGTGGGATCAGAGTGACGCGGAGCGACGAGAGTGAGGACAGAGTGCTGCGACCAGCAAGCAATGGAGAACACGAGAATGAGGACAGGGCCGCTAGTGGACAGAGATTAGAAAGGGACAGAGAACAAAGCAAGAAGGACCGAGTAGTAAAGTGGTGACAGAGAGTGTTTTGAGAGGACAGAGTGAGAGAGGTAGCAGAAGTGTTGTACAGAGTGGATCGGAAGCCTTGACCGTAAAAAATGCTGGCGTTACTCATATGTATGGAGCGACGCAGCGGCGTGCATAGTCTCGATAGGACAGAGAAAGGCCGTGAGCACTAAGAGAAGGCACAGCCGTGTGGCGACTCAGGAGATTTACCTAACTGAGGACATGAGAGATAACGAGAAGCTGTGTGGCACAGCCTCCAGTGCTGGACGGGCGGTCGGACAGGAGTGTGGACAGGATAGAGGAACGGAGAGAGGACAGAGTGTGGACAGAGGTGTGGCAGAAGAGGAGGACAGTGAGGGCGGGCGGCGAGGGAGTGTGGACAAGAGTGTGACAGAGAGGAGGACAGAGAGGAGGACAGGGAGGTGGTGTGACAGAGTGAGAGGACCTCAGCAGTATCGGTGGACAGAGTCGATAACGAACGGACAGAGCGTGGTGGACAAGATGAGATTATTAGAGGACGACTCAAGTGGGAGGACAGCGAAGGTAGTGACGATTTCAGAAGAGAGGAACAGAAGAGAAGAGACAAGAATGTGTGGCAGTTAATGAGTCCTTGAGTGACAGTTAAAGTGTAGGAACATGAAGAGTGAAACACGGTGTATAATGTATAATCGAATTTTGGACGAGGACAGTAGAATTGTGTGACAGATGAGGACAAACTATTATGGTGGGAGGACAGAGATGCAGCGACAGAACTGTGGAGCGCAGAGGGAAATAATCTTGGAAGGTGTGGACAGAGTGTGGACAGAGCATCTAGGAGGACGGTGGAGAAGCTGACAAGAGATCATAAATAATAATATTAATAAAGAGTTAGTTATAGTGCAAAAATATATGTGTTGGAACAGAGTTGCATGGTGCAGAAGAGAGAGCGACCATGAGTGTGGATCAGAGTGTTAGATTGGTATCTAGAGAAGAGGACATGAGGAGTGGAAGACTCAGAGGTAGTGTGGACAGCGCGCGCAGGTATCTGTGGACAGAGTTGGACGAGAGATTATGTGAGCGACTGTGATCTGCATTGTAGGACGCAAGGATTGTATTATGCAACAGCACGATGTAAGGGAAAGAGAGAGGAACATTGTTTAGTGTTGCAGAGTGTGGACGAGAGTGATGAAAGACTAGAGAGAGGATCAGATGTTGTTGAGACAAAATAGAAGAAAGTGGGACAGGGATTGGTGTTGTGGTTACAGAACAGCTACAGTGTGTGGTTACTAGTGGTGATGTGTGGAAAACAGCAATGGAGGAACTCATGTATTCGCATCTGCGACTCCAGTAAACAAGGTAGTGGACCAAAGCAGATTGTGAGAGAACAGAAGTGAAGAGGCACAGTGTGGACAGAGGAGGAAGCAGTACAGTTGTGGACAGGATGAGTGGTGGATCAGAGAGAAGGACTCGAGTGTAGGTGACAGAAGAGCATGACAGATAGTAGCATAGTAGTAGTACTCACAGTTTGTACAAAGTTATCTAGCAGTTGTAGTTAGTAGTTTGTGTGGACAGAGATGGGGTGAGCACTGGTAAGTCGAGATCGACTCTTGTGAACTAGAGTTGTAAGACCACAGGAGTCCTGAGGAATATAGATTGAAGGACAGAGATGTTAGAGGACAAGTGTGGGAACAGAGTGAGGACAGAAGTTGGGACAGATTTTGAGGACAGAGTAAAAAAAAAAAAAAAAGTGTGGACAGAGTTTATAGTGAGACAGAGTAGTGGACAGAGAGAGGACAGAGAGAGGAGAGAGAGTGTGGACGAAGAGAGGACAAATAAGAGAGACAGAGTGTGGACAAAAAGAAGAGGACAGAGAGAGGACAGAGTGAGGGAAAGAGATATTAGGAGACAGTAAGTTGGACAGATGAGAGGAACAGAGTGTTGGACAGAGAGAAGGACAGAGAGAGAGACAGAGTGTGAGACAGGAGTGAGAGACAGAGTAGAGGAACAGAAGAAGAGAGAGGAACAGAGAGGAGGACAGATGTGGGACCAGAGAGAAAGAGAGGACAGAGTGTGGACAGAGTACAAAAATGAAGGTACAAAGAGAGAGGACAAGTGTAAATGTTGGACATAGAAATCTAAGTGTAGACAGAAGGTGAGTGAGACAGAACGTGTAGGACCAGAAGAAGATCGAGGCACACACGAGAGGAAACAGAGGAGCAGTGAGTTCAGTGGAGCAAGATGTGTAGGACAAGGAGAGACGAGGACAGAAGATAAGTGGAGTGACAGTAATTTGAGACATAGAGAGAGAAGGACAGAGTGTGGACAGATGATGGGACAGAGAGACGGACTAGAGTTGTGAGATCGCAGAGCATGAGGGAAGTCGCAGATGTAGGACAGAGATGAGAACAGAGAATAGGAGGAACAGAATAGAATGTGCGACTGAATAAGAATCTAGAGGACAGAGATTATAGTTAAAGAGGAAAATTGCGTGGAGCTCCTCTTGTGACGCAACTCAGAGTGATAAGAGAACAGAGAATATATTTTTTGTAGAGATACAGTTAGTGTGGACAGAGTCGTTAGTACAGTATTTTAGCGACTTGATTGAGTGATGGACTGGAGATGAGGGATCAGAGAGTAGTGTACTAGATTGTGGACAGATGATTAGAGGACATAGGGATTGTGTGTGGATCAGTTTATTTATTGATGAGACAGTGTGGAAGTAATTTAGGACAGATTGAATATTTATGGAACAGGAGTTGTGGTCAGTATTGGAGAGAGTGTCACAGAAGTGTGACATGAATGATTATGGACTGAGGAGTTGAAGCGATCATGTTATGTGAAGACTCATGGTATGTGTTGTTGTCTCATGAGTAGTTGTGAACAGATTTATTTATGATGTGGATCAGTAAAAGCATAGTGTCACAGATAGACTTTAAGAGTGAGACTGAGCAATACGAGACACGAGAGTCTTGTGACTGATGATTTCTCATTACTTGTGAGTGTATACGTGCAGGATGAGTAGAAGACAGTAAGCTCCGTACTAAACATGTTGTGTTGGCGCAGTAGTGTGTGACAAAATGATTTGAATGAAGCGACAAGACAGAAGAGAGATGCAGTGATCATAATAAATATAGATATAGTAGCAAAAAAAAAAAATTATGAAGTAGAGGGACAGTGTGTATGATGTGTGTGTGATCGTGAAGAGAGCAATAGTGAGGAACCACAGGTGGTGGACAGTAGTGTTTAGGAACCTAGCGGATGTAAAATGTGGTGGTTAACTCAAGTGGTTCCAGTGATGGACAAGTGAAAAGATAATAAATAAGAGTCAAGAAAGTGGTGGAAACGTAAGTGTGCGACAGAAGAAGCCAAGGACAGATCTTTGAAGAGAGACAGAATTTGGTTGAGATACAGAGAGAGGACAGAGTTGTGGACAGAGTGTGGAACAGAGGACAGAGAGAGGACAGAGTGAGGACAGAGAGAGGACAGAAGGTGTGGACAGATTAGTGATAGAGACTCATATGATTGTAAGGACAAGTTAATGGCTTGGGTTATTCAATTTTGAGAGTGTACATGACGATGAGGACTCAGATTGAACATTTTATGAGGACTAGAATGAAATGTGATGATCAGTAGTTTGTAGGAACAGAGTGTGGACAGAGTGTGGACAGAGTGAGGACAGAGTGTGGACAGAGTGTGGACAAGAGTGTGGACGAGTGTGGACAGAGTGTAGGACAGAGTGTGGACAGAGAGAGGACAGAGTGTGGACAGAGAGAGGACAGAGTGTGGACAGAGTGAGGACAGAGTGTGGACAGAGTGTGGACAGAGTGTGGACAGAGAGAGGACAGAGTGTAGGAGCAGAAGGGACAGAAGAGGGACAGAGAGAGGACAGAGAGGAGCTGAGTGAAACAGAGTGTGGACAGAGTGAGGACAGAGTGTGGACAGAGTGTGGACAGAGTGTGGACAGAAGAGAGAGACAGAGTGGACAGAGTGTGGACAGGAGAGAGGACAGAGTGTGGACAGAGAGAGACAGAGTGACAGAGCAGTGTGTGGAAGAGTGTGGACAGAGTGAGGACAGAGAGAGGACAGAGTGGACAGAGTGTGGACAGAGAGGAGGGACAGAGTGGGACAGAGTGGACAGAGAGAGGTCAGAGAGAGGACGAGTGTGGGACAGAGAGAGGACAGAGTGTGGACAGAGTGTGGACAGAGAGAGGACAGAGTGAGGACAGAGTGTGGACAGAGAGAGGACAGAGTGTACAGAGTGTGGACAGAGAGAGGACAGAGTGAGGACAGAGTGTGGACAGAGAGGACAGAGAGAGACAGAGAGAGGACAGAGTGTGGACAGAGAGAGGACAGAGTGTGGACAGAGGTGTGGACGAGTGAGGACAGAGTGTGGACAGAGTGTGGACAGAGAGAGGACAGAGTGTGGACAGAGAGAGGACAGAGTGTGGACAGGACAGAGTGAGGACAGAGTGAGGACAGAGAGAGGACAGAGTGAGGACAGAGTGTGGACAGAGAGAGGACAGAGTGTGGACAGAGTGTGGACAGAGTGTGGACAGAGAAGACAGAGTGGACAGAGTGTGGACAGAGAGAGGACAGAGTGTGGACAGAACAGATGGAGACAAGGTGAGAACAGAGAAGAGGACAGTGTGTGGACAGGAGTGTGGACAGAGAGAGGACAGAGAGAGGAGAGTGTGACAGAAGAGAGAACAGAGTTGGACAGGTGTGGACAGAGTGTGGACAGAGAGAGACAGAGTGATGACAGAGTGTACAGAGACAGAGTTGGAGAGGAAAGAGTGGACAGGTGTGGACAGAGTGTGGACAGAGAGAGGACAGAGTGAGGACAGAGTGTGGACAGAGAGAGGACAGAGAGAGGACAGAGTGTGGACAGAGTGAGGACAGAGTGAGGACAGAGTGTGGACAGAGTGTGGACAGGAGGAGGACAGAGTTGGACAGAGTGTGGACAGAGAGAGGACAGAGTGTGGACAGAGTGTGGACAGAGTGAGGACAGAGTGAGGACAGAGTGTGGACAGAGAGAGGACAGAGTGTGGACAGAGTGTGGACAGAGTGAGAGGACAGAGTGATGACAGAGTGGACAGGAGGACAGAGAGAGGAGAGTGTGGACAGAGAGGAGGAGAGTGTGGACGAGTGTGGACAGAGAGGGACAGAGTGAGGACAGAGTGAGTACAGAGTGTGGACAGACAGAGTGTGGACAGAGTTGTGACAGAGAGAGGACACCTGAGATAAT